CACACAATCCATCAGATATCTATCATACTTCCTCTTCCGAGCCTACAGTTCCCAGGCATAGTTCACATGGTACTCATTACACCCATTAATGCAACTGGGCACAATCCCGTCTCCCTGCTTAGAAGAGGAGAGCCCCTGAAAAATCAAGACGCCTAAGAGACACAGACCCTATGGTCTATACCTGGGCTGCTGCTTGTCTGTCTGCTGGTAATGGTAACTCACAGCCACAGCAGAGTGAGGACACAACAGGTACTTGTTCTCATCCCAGCAGCGGGCCATGGTCCGCGTGATGGCGTCATCTGATACTGACTCAGATGTTACTGCCTCTGAAAGCTGAAGAGTCCCAGTTTTTGTTTGTTTGTTTGAGACAGGGTCTCACCATGCAGCCCAGGCTAGGCTGAAACTCACAATCCTCCTGTCTCCACCTCCCATGGGCTGGGATTACAGGGATGTGCCACCACGACTAGCTAGTTTCCTAGTTTTGAGCTGATTCGTTCAACTTGGAAGAAGGATACATTTCAGTGTTAGGTCAATACATTTAGGTGGCAATTTGGCTCATTAATCAAATCAATATGTAGTCATGTTCCACAACCAGACAGCACAGAAGGTCAAGGGCATTCAATATTTCTGGTGCTTTGTTGTTGATGCATCTCCTTCCTGGTGTGAAATCTGCATCCTATCAGTTCCCACCCAGCTAAGAAGCAACTGCTATAGGAAGCCTCCCTTTACTCCAGGACAGAGGAGACTCCCCTCTCGGTGCTCCCTCAGGGAGGGTGGCTTATCTGATCATTCCTTGAAAAAGTACTGCAAGCATTCTACTTACACTTGACCACAAGAGAGACCACACGGTGTTTAGGTTGTTTATATAGCTACCTCCCATAGGGTTTAGAGAAGGCAACGAATGCATTTTCTTTCTTCTTTTTCTTCTTCTTTTTTTTTTTCTATTGCTGGGGATTGAACCCAGGTTCTCATGCATGCTGGGCATATAATGTTCCACTGAGATATAACCACCCCTAGTTCAATAGATGGGTTTTGTCTTTGTATCTCCAACACCAAGAACACAGTAGATAGATAATATGAGTGAACGCACCTCTGGCAAATGGAGTGTCTCTTATGTGTATAGCCAAGGAGAGAATGAAGAGACAGAGGATATGGTATCTGGCTTCATGGAGCATCTCATTTCAAGAGGAGAAAGAATGTGGGTGTCAAAACAACCCATTAACCAAATAAAGAGGTGTTTGGCTGCATCAAAGGAAGCTTAGATTCCAAAGACAGAAATTCCACTCTGGTCTGCATGGTGTAGCTCAGTCTAGAGGGTCACTGATCATGCAGAATTATGTCACATAGGGACAGTTACAGGAACTGGGAAGACTAAGTCAGTAAATGAGGATTCTCTTCAACTCTGTAGAAAATGTTGAAGTAAAATCAGATTTGCAAGCTAGAAGGAACATATTTTAGCTCTACATAAAGAACTTTGTAATAACTAGAGCTGGCATAAGGTAGTGAGGTCCTGGTCACTCACTGGAGGTATATTGTTCAGATGGCCACTTAGTGGGAATATAGCAAAAATTAAAGACAGCTTCAGAAATCCTATATTTTATACATAGAATAAGTAACTATCACCAGGTTGCATTAAAATAAAAGCAAACCTTTCGAAGAGATTTCTAAAATAAATAAACTTATTTCCTAAATAAAATTTCTTCTCTAAGTGAAAGAGAGAGACAAGAAGGAAAGAGAAGAGAAGGGAAGGGAAAGGAAGGGAAGGGGGGAGGGGGAGGGAGAAGAGGGGAAGAGAGGGGAGGGGAAGGGAAGGGAAGAGAAGGGGAGAGAAAGGTCTAACAGGATCAATGTCTGCTCAGTCTGGAAGGGCAGAGTGGTTTGCCCTTGTTTACCAATTATTATTATTGGAAATAAACAACTATAGTAAATAAAAACATGAATGGTTACTGTATTGAACCCCATATTAGGAGGCAGTATCTAAAGTGCCTTACGTGTATTATTTGATAGGTAGGCATTTTATTATCCCTATTTTTCAGATGAGGAAACTGAGGCACAGAATTTAAGAAACCGGTCTAATACCTCACAGCAGGTTTAAAGCTGAGCCTGACTGACTCTAAATCATGTTCTCTTCTGCCTTTCCTCATTCAATAAATTAACCCAAATAAAGTAACAGTAAGAGTGTCTGGCTCCTGGTAAGTTGTTCAAAAAACAGGTGTCTCATTCCCTTGCCCAGAGTTCCAAACCCCATATCTGTTGCATGGCTGCACCCTTTCCTTTCTCTGTGGCATATGGGTAGTGGCTGACCTTGCTGTGCAGTTCCTTGGGTAGATGCAGACTTTGGGTTCTTTCAAACTGCTCCATGAGGGCTTTTGTCTCCTGGCTGTTGGAGCCAGAAAGCAGCCAGAAGATTCTCTCCATGTTGTATGGTACCTGGGCAGAAAGGCAGAGTCCAGGTCATCCTGGACTAGTCCCACCCCACTAACACCTGGGTCAGATCTGCTCACTCCCCGCAGGCCCACCTGAATGTCCATAGCTGATGCCAAGGTTGGTTTGACAGCTTCAGACAGAGAGAAGTCTCCACTCTGGACAGTCCTGTGGATGATGTCATTGTGGTTCACTGCCACGACCAGGTGGATGGGCAGCCCCATCTTCTGTGCAATGCACCCAGCTTGGGACAACACAGAAGAACAGTATTTTAGGAAAAAACAAAAAAAAAA